AGGACAAGACATGCTCTCTAAAAGTATTTTATTTACATAGTTCTCCTCTGCATTGTAGCATCTGAAAATAATTTTACATTAAAGATAGGTGCAAAAGTTTTAATCAGGGAAACCTTTTTTAAATAAAGAGTTTTAAGAACACTGCTGTCACCGTTTGACTTTCCACCACAAATAACATAATTCCCCAGATCATGTCCTCTGTTTCAGGTGGGCACCTCCAGTTCTCGCAAGGACAGAGAAAAGGGTGAAACCTTTTTTGTTCTGGCTCTTTTAACAGCTCTTCTGTAAATGTAGCCGTTGTAGCGTTTTCCAAAGCGAAGGCTGAGAGGGTTGTAGTTGAAATTACTTCTGCGATCATTGCAAAGGAGCTGCCTCTGGTCCTCGTTCTCTCTCAGGGAAAAGCAGAGGCTCGGATCCTCTGCCAGGAAGTCGCCTGCTGTTCTCCTGAATGCAGAGGACACTGCTCCTGAAGGCAAACCCCAGACACATCAGTCCACAACTGGAAATACATAAACACAGCAGAGTACGTGCAGCTGTAACCTGCTACACAATCTATTCAATCAGTCATCACCACTCTGCATTTAAGGAGAAACACCCACACACACACACACAGTGTTTGATGAGGTAACTCATGTATTTTTTTTTCTTTTTTAGATTATTTTAGTTTGACATGTACTTTTGTTTTTAAAAAGAGGATTTTATGACCATGAAATATCTATGTGTCAATTATTTTTATACCAAGTTATGGGTTTATTGTTTGTTTGTTTTTTAGCTTCATAACAAAATTAAGACAATCAATTAGAACATCATAATTTTCACTTAAAACATTAAAGCAGCCACAGGAGTTAACAAAGCCTTCAAGGTTGATGCAAATATTTCATATGGATACTCTGTTTATTACTGATTATGTCCAAATCCTCAGCTAATCCATGAATCATAAGGAAAATACAGTCCTAATGATAGTAAGACTGTATATTGCTTTCATAATGATGAGAGAACAGGAGGCTCAGCGCTTCATCCTACAGCTACAGTTACTCAAACTTTTCTGCCCCACTTCAAAAGATAGAAACAGTTCAGATCTCACAATTCTTAACATCAGCATTTTGAACAAGCCTCAACATTTTCCTTTAAGTCTGTTTTGTCTGCAAAAGTCAGATTCATTTGATTCAGTTTTACTCCACATTGTTCTGGTCATCGGTGCAGTGGGGCCTGCAACACTGTTTGAGAAGAAGTGTATTACAACAAGATAGTGTGCCAAAGTATTACGAGAAGGAAACAGGCACAAACTGCAGACATAAACCCCATCAAGCTGCTTTGGCATGAAGTAGACAGAAGACTGAATGCAAGACAACCTAAAAGTGCAGCAGATTAGCAGGAACAAAAAGTATATACATTAGAATTAGTATACCTATAGCAGGCTCAGCTTCTGAATGATTCAAACATTTTGATTCAATTTAGGGCTGAGAATTTCATGATTTTTTTGCACCCCTCTAGCCTGTATTCTGAGACGTGAAACTACATTTTTTCAAACCCTTTATTTTTAGTGTAAATTCCAAATTCACAAAGCCTATAAAAACCTAACTGGTTGCAACTCTTGAGGCGACACGTTTCCTGTCTGTACTGATAGTGCTAAACGATTAGCATAATGCTGTAATAAATAACAAATAAAAAATATTAGACTTCAGCAGCCACCTGTTGCATGTGTTCTCTGTGCAGGGTCGACTCCTGGCAGA